AGAGAGAGAGAGGGAGAGACAGATATGCAAGGAACTAGACTGACACAGAGGTATAGATCAGGTAGGTAGACAGAACATGATGGGGCCATGTAAAAATAGATCCTTCATAGATACTAGTACGTAAACGAGTGGATAGATGGACATGCAGAGTAGAAAGTCAGGGACTTCGTAAGTGCATGATTCATACAAAGCCTCTTTATGGTGCCATTGAAGCTTTGCTGTTTGCCTTGCTTTGCGTATGACTAAGAACACGAACAGTCCTTGTGACCCGTGCGAGTGCGCTGCCGCATCGAACGTTTTGGCCAGATGGGGACACTCTGGTCCGAACAACTGGAAGCGGGTCCCCCTGCGACAACACCAACGAGCGAGGGGAGAAGGGTGGCAGCCTTCTTGTTTGCGAGTCTTCCAGGGCTGGGTGGCCAGAGAGCGAGCGGGGGAAGCTGCCTCGTCGAGTACCAAGACACGCAAATTGGGAAAGCCACGCTGCAGCCTCAAGCCGAGAATCGGGGCGAACTGCGAAGACAATTTCAAGCCCTTTCAAACGAAATCGCACGGGACGCTGAGGCGCTGACATGTAATCTCTTGCCTGTGCTTGTGGCCTTGCGTCGGATATCGTCGGATGGTTATGCTAGCTTCCATTGCTGGCTTCCTCCATTACCTTCCGAGCTACCAGTAAGCGCTCGGCGAGCGAAGCCCGCCGTCGGCATCCACAAGAAGCAGGAGCACGGGATCGCCGGCTTCGTTTTTGCCTTCCTGCGTTCGAAGCACGATGTAGCATCGATGACATGCACTGGTCTGGTCCTCCAAGCACGATGCGAGCAGAATAACTTCCCGGTCCAAACCTAAGCGACTCGCAAATACGTATTCCGATCAGCTTCATGAATATTCAGTTGTTGCCGGGCCGAAAAGCAACACAACACAAATAATACTGTGCTCTTGACAAGGTGGAACAGGTTTACTCGCGCCGGCGCCGTCCTGCATTGCCGCCACACTGCGTTGTCGCATTTCAGCCAATTGATGGAACACGCATTTGCTGCCAGCCTCTGCGCAAAAAAGAGCATTGATGTGTCCGCTGGCGAACAGCACTCCCATGGCCAAGCCACTTCCAGACCTGTGGTTGGTTACGTTGCAATTCTTCATCCTTCTCGTCGAGCAATTCAAACAGGTGAGCTGGACGACGCTTCCCGCATCGCATCAGCTGCCTTGAAGCCATGCAAAGAAACAAACTCGGGTTCCGGAATACGACAATAACGAAGGTGCCAAACTTGATGCGTGCCTGCCACGTCTCATGGAAAAGGCGTTTGTGCTGTGGGAGCTCCAGAAGTTCGCCAACCTTGCCCAGCCTTTGTGTCTGCGATCGTTTGGGACTGCGATAAGGCGCCGAGTGAGCTGCTCTTATGGCTGAGGCCTCTTCGCCGACCATGGATAAAGACTTGCAACCTTGTCAGTCTCTTGAAGGCAGGCTAATGGCCATGCTGCACCATGCTTGCGCGCACCGTGGAAGACCAAAGCTTCATTCGGCCAGCAGGAGATGGGTTGTCTGAAATCCAGGCGCACAGTACTGGAACCTTCAACGGCGCATGATAAGTGGAAGTTGGATCGTCCAGTGCGCCCTGCTCTGTCCAAATCTGGCCTGGGGTTTCAGGTGCTGGGACATGAGCTCACGATCCAAAAGCGAAGGTGTCGGACAGGTATGTGGCTTCCCTGAACAACAAGAACAAGCACGCAGCACCTGTCTCCATGCTAAACAGACATACTCCACACACAATGAACCGGCAAGATTGCTCATGAGTGGAACCATTGTTCGCAGCACTGCATGGGTACTGCATGCCTACATTTTGGCTATCAGCAGCACGAGTTTGCCAGGGCCTAGCCGGCAGAGTGAATACGCAGCCGGCAGACAAAAGGAGATCGCAAACAGCTGAAAATCCGCATTCCGTAGTGATTGTACGACGTACGACACACATGGAGTGAGGTGCACCCTTCATTGTCCTCGGGAAGCTCGAGATTGTGCAACATTCTCATCTCGACAAGCTTCCGCAGCACTCTAGAATTTGGGAAGCTTAGCAAATCCTAGTTTCTCGAATCACGTGCTTGAGTTGAATACTGCAAACCTTTTTCCTTGAATTGACTTGTCAAACGTGGAAGTTGCCGTTCGCAGTTCCAAAGCTGCGTTGCCGGCTTCTTTCAAGACTCCATACCGGAGAAGCTCAATTTTGGTGTCTGGCTGTTCTTCGTCGTCAGAGAGAAGAACAACCGATCGCCCAGCTTGTGCATACTTCGGACTCTAGAAAGAACCATATTCGGAAACCAGCGTCCATGCAGACACTACAGGCAGGAACTTGGTGCATGTGCCAGTCCCTGTCAGTAGCTGTTGTACCTGCACTCGTTGGTGGGTGTGCTCGCTTTCGATGGCTTCGCCATTCAGTTCTTGTAACCTGAGTCTCACTTCGGTAAGGTATGGTGGGATGTTTGCCACCCATCCTCTGGAGCTTTGCTTAGGCTTCAGACCCTCTCCGCTGGATTGACCATTGGTCAGGCAAGAGCAAACGCAGCCGGAAGCAAGCATGTCTGTATCAATATCCGTGTCAACGCCCTCTTTGCGGTTCCCTTATTATCATCACGATTTTCGCTTTTCCACGCATTCCGGGATGCAGCTTTTGATGCTGGGGTCGCTTCGGAGTGCACATCGGCCGCACATGACTGCATTGGTTTCGGAGATGCTGCCTCCTGCAAGAACGACTCCAGTCACTCCTGCACACGATGTGCCAGCGCTCCGACAAGTCCGGAAGCCAAGTGATTGCATTCCAGGTGCCTTCGAGAGGTGTACGAGCAGCCTGCCGAAGGAGTAACTTTGCCAGCGCCTGGGCAAGCCGAATTCGTTTGTGAGCGCTTCCTCCGAAAGAGAAGACGATGTATCTTGGACGCGCTCTGTTGTGGTGGCACCAACTGCGGCTCCTGTACATCCACGGCGCATGCAGCAAGTCAAGGTCCCGCCCCTAATTATCTGGAATGCAGCCTTGTGCTCGAAGATCGGTACCAACTTCGGCAAGCAACTGCCCTGCCTGCCAAAGCCGAGATGCCAGAAAATTCTGAGAGACCCACAGTGTGGCTGGCACACATGAAACAAGAAGCAGCTGCTCAAGCATGATAGATCCGCCTCGCCAGATGGAGTCCGATAAAGTAGCAGGCAAACCTGCTAGAACAAGCTCTTTAAAAAAAAAACTCGGGAAGCGTGTCGGCAAAGCTTCAGATCCCCGCGTCCTGTCGATAAGGCGACTTGTCCAATCGAACTTAGTGCTTGCGGTCAGGCTGGCTCTCATGATCGCCTACACAAGTGGCATCACTCAGCAGGTGGACCCGCAGCTCTTGCTATAAATCTTTACGTGCACTGTCTTACTGTGTCCCTGGACATCTCCGGAGTTATTGGGTTCGCAGCAGACGCAATGCTCATACCTTCGATTACATCGACCACCAGATATGTTTAATTAACAAATCTTTCTCAATGTGTTTTGACAGCTTCCTTTATATACTGAATCTTGCTGTTGGCGACAATGCATTGGGCAGCTGACATCTTCCAGACATGACAAGTTCTGGCATCCCGGAGACGATTCTGTCACATCTCGACAATTTAACCGACTGATAACAGTCGAGCCGGGAGGATTGGGTTGACACAGCACGCTGACACATGAGAAGGATCTGCAGTGTGATGCGGGATACAGACGCGAAGACGGCCAAAACAGGACATTGCACAAGCACGTGGCTGATCATCCAACGAAACAGAAATGTTGAGATTGTCACCTTGCGCTCTGAAAGGCGAACAGCCAGCTTCGACGTCCAACCACGCGACGTCAATTGCACCAAGGCAGGTGGAACTAGGCAGAAGAATCAGAAAGGCAGACAAGTGGCAAGGAACCATCAACTGCAATTCGGTTCGAGGCTCTGAAAGACAGGTTGTACATGAGCTGCCTGCAACGAAGCCTGTGTAACTTGGCAGTGACACATTGGCGCTCCGGCAACCGAGCTGTGGCGCAAATCTCTCAAAAGCAGCAGATTGCCTCCATGTCGCTTGGATGCACCAAGCGTGGGCAGAATCTGGAAAGCTGCCGGACTACGCGCGACGCGGTCGCATCGGTGTAATGAGACCGCATGCAGCTCCGGCAAGTGCGCAGGAAACATGGAAGATACGATGATAATCTGAGTAATCATATCTACATCATGAACTGAAACCCGACGCCAATGTCTGCATGTGGAAGCCAAGCAAAGCCATCTCGAGGCCACATAGGCCAACAAATCCTGGAGTACCAACCGTGTGAGAACGTGGAGGTGGCCGTGTGATCATTTGCGAAGCAGAAACCTAATTTGGTGCAGAACCCGATTTTTCCTGGCAATCCCATAGGCTTGTTGAGCAGCGTCGTGGTGGTGACAGGTTTGAAGCCTGTTTCGGATGATGGGGTCTGTGGCGGGCCCCCATACCAGCCAGCATCTCCGCGCAGCTCACCATAGCACACTTGTCTGGACTCTCCGGTGTGTGATGGAACTCTGCCCCTTACTCCAAATCCCGCTTGTGCGCGAGCAAATCATGTACACGCCACCCCAAATGTGATCAATGGCGTGACCTGGACTAAGAGTCACCTAGCCTGATTTCAGTTCTCCTTGAGGAAACATGTCGCAAGCCTTCTGAGGTAAAGGCGTCCAATGGCCAATGCAAGGGCTCCAAGCTTGCCTTCACTCGGTCCTTCCACTATCGTATCACGTATTGGCATGCCTGCCCTAAAGCAGTAACACCTTTCTCGATGCGCTGCTTTGATGCATCCTCGTTCACCATTCTCTGCAACGATGAGCCGGTCGGGTATGACAACCGAATCCTCCCGCAGAGCATCAATTTCGGCAAGGCCTCAACCAAAAATGCAGGTTGAAAATAAACTGACGAGAATGAAATGCGTTCGGCTGGCCTTCGCCAAAGAAGCCGTGCTGTGCGACATCTTTCCTCTCGGAACGCCTCCAAAGGATGCCTAAGCCGCTACATGTGCATAAAGTGCTCGAAGTGAGAGGAAGTCCACTTCAAGCCCCGCACAGATGCCCCTGATGCAGCGGCCAATACCATCCATATTCTGGCACGAAGGCATTTTCAGCCATCGCGCCAACTCGTGATGTTTGACTGGACAGTTTCGTATCGCTGCCAGCGAGGCTATGAGCGCACGAAACCATGCGTCAGCATGAGGTTACATCGGCGATGGCCGCTGGATGCCCTATGCAGGTTTGCAATCATCAACCCGTGCTTCAAGCCCAAGAGCAGCCTTGCGGCCGGCAATGTGCAAGCGTCTGCATCGACAGTTGCTTCGAGCTCTAGACTCTACACTGCACGCACTGTAAGGTTGCGACATCGTCGGATTCGCGGCCTTGCTGAGCTGGAACCTTCGAAGCAGGGCGTGTCATGAAACCGCGTGAAGCAAGGCAGTTGGTGCGCTTTTCGAAACTGGCTGTGCTGCAGAGGCTATCGGTGCGAGCGGGGAATCCGTCGGCTTTGTTTAGCACACACACACACACGCTGCTTCAAGAGAGTTTGCAGAAACCTGGATTTTGAATCGGGTGGTGCCAAAAAGCTAGAGTCGGCATCGGAAGTTGTGGTGGCAGTGTTCCATGAAGCTCCATACTCAAGACATCGCATGTTCGAACATCTCTCGGGATGCCCCTTCTCCACTCTAGGTCAGAACTTGGCGAGGCAAAACGTCGAGGGCCGCGATCTAGATTTGATACGTCGACAACAGAACAAGGTTTTGGTCTCCACGGAACTGCTTTCCAATGTTACCAAGACGTGCCCAGCGACGGCTTCCGAAAGCTTTCGACACTGGAGCACAGTTGCATGAAAGTGACTTGAAGGTGCTCGCGACGCCATGGAACCGCATGGCAGGCATTCTGCAGGCGGGCACTTGCAGAATAGTCTGTGCCTCGTCTTTATCATCTCGAGCGGCTGTACCTTTCGAGCTGGTACGCCGAACTTTCCTGCTGACTCTGGTGCTTCGGTTGGATGAGATTCGAACCACAACTGACTCCACGCCGCCAGCAATCCCACCGGCCATGGCGGCTTCGCGGCTCATGCTCAGCTGCCAGAGGCACAGCTTTGGCCCACGAGCTCAGCAGTCACGCCATGCCAACGGCAATGTCAGCCGCAAAATCAGACTGATGCATTTGATCGCATGCCCTGTGAATCAACACACATCCCATGCATGTCGTCTGCCAGGAGATGTCTCATGTCTTGATCTGCCTGCACGGGCTCGCAATTTGAGCCACGTGATGCGTAGGCTTGTTCTTGATGTCTTGCGTTGCATGTCCGGTGCTTCCATGACTTGGTCTGGGGTTGACCCCTGCTGAAATTGCTTGCAACATCGTCGTCTCAAGAACTGCAGGCAGCTAACACGTCATTCGACCGGTCACAGGACCTGTTGTTGCAGACTCTGAGCGACTGCGCAAGCACATTCCAAAAGGCTTTGCTGAACTTGCGGCCTGCATCTTCAGTGGCCGTGCTCACACGCTACGCTGGGGGTGGCGGACCGGAAAAGAACGACCTGATCGTTGACCACGAATGCCCGAAAATTTGCAAGTTTGGTTGAGCCCACCTTGCGAACCCGTTGCGGCCACACATGACCTGCGGCGGCTTCCAGCAGCTTGGCACGGTGGTGGAAAGGTAAGTACAGGTGGGGACTGGCCGGAATTGCTGAGAGGCATGCTCGATTCTTCGTCACAGATACGTTTTTGTTGCTTCTTCTCGTATTGGACTGGCAAAGATGAGGGACCGGCGAAGTGATTCATGCTTGTTCCAAACCCATGCCACAATGCCTACCCACCCTTCTGTTGACGAGTTTCAGAAGAAATGAAGCTCTTTAAAAACCTACTGTACCATGCGCAGCATCTACTCTCAAATTATGCGCTCAGAAATCCTAGACTCTGAATACATACGCGTGCTGTGCACGATGCAAGTCAGCTGCTTGGTCTGCGGCGTGCTTCCGATTGGAAAACTCCTTCAGACCGTCCCTCCCCCAGAAGCCGGCACCTAGCAGGAGCTTGCCGTTCGCTTGCAGCGAGAAGACTGACAGCTCACTGAAGTTAAGCCGGGAACCCATGCCACTTGGCCCTGTTCCACCAAAGTTGGCAGCGTAATTGGAGATCATGCGCTGGCCCAAGGACAATCAATGAAGCACCGAAGGGCTCAAGTTTTGCCAAGACAAAACAACATTTGCGCACCATAGGCCCTCCATTTACGGCAATGTTGCCAGCGGGCACGTTGTTGACAAATTCTGCCTCAACCTGTCCTTCCTGGCAGGGTGAAATTGAAATAGAAACTGAGCAATGTTGACCAATGTCACATGAGACCACGCAAATCGAGAAAGAACCATCCTGGGTATAGCAATATGCAATCAAGGGCTTGGTAGCGACGGCATTGATGATGCAAATAGCCTTTCGTGCAATTTCTGTGGCACAAAACACGAACTTATGCGAGACTTGGAAGTGAAGGCGCCTCCTGTACATCCCGGACAGGCAAGATGGGCAGCAACGGTCCGAAAATTTCTTGCTGCAGGACCTTGTGCATGAGGAGAAGCATGACTGCATGCTTTCCCGTACCCTGGCTCGCCGCAGGGATTCCCCGTACCAATGTATCTCCAAACTTTACTTCACAATGGCACGTGTGCTGAAGTCTTCACCTTGCAGGCCCTCACCCTTTTGCACAAGGAAAGCTCCTGACAGCTCGATCTCGTGCAGGTGCGAGAATTCCAGTCATCGGCACGGACATGGCCTGTCACCGCACTGCAATGCTGCATTGGTGACGCAGCTGCTCAGCCACAGCCACGGGTAAACACGGTAATGGTAACATGCAGTTTTTCACGAAATAAGAGTTGCCTCATCATTGAAGCCGTACTTGTCGCTGATTGGTGGAATCTGAGGGGGTTGGATGGACGAAAGTCGCCACCACGTGAATGCATCATGCACTGAGGTCGAAGCGCACTCCGCTTGACAGTCTTGAAACAGCCGGGTCATGTTGTTGTACTGTTTCCTGCCAAGCATCCGCACGTTGCGCCTCTGACAAGGGACGATGCTCGTGCGTGCAGTCTACGTGTGCTTCCGATTTCCTGTTGGCTTGGAAACTCGTGAGGCGGTGGCTTGGCACCCAGATCCTCCACCATGGCCTGTTTGTTAATATGGACACGCTGCAGTGCCCGGATGCATTTTGGTGTCTCAACCTTGAACACACGGCAGAAGGCAGACAGGACCGATTCGTGGATCAAGACCTGAGCGGTTAGCGATGAGCAAAGGCGTACTTATTATATATACATTTATGTATGTACAATATATATATATATATATATATTGATAGATATAGATAGAGCCATAGATATAGATATACATATAGATATAGATACATACACAAAAATCTGTACATGTATGCATCTATATATACACACATGTAATTACATTTGCATGAAGAACGTATGACACAAAACGCAAGCGAAACTAGATCATTTTAGACACAAATACACACACACATATATATATATATATGTGCGCATATTTATATTTTGCTTTTTAGTTTTATTGATATCTATACTAGATGTATATTCGGCATACTCACAGCACGGCCTATAAATACACATGAGACAATTTGGATTTATGCGCCTGTTTGCACGGATATGTATGTGTATATATATAGATAGATAGATAGATAGATAGATAGATAGTACCCCCCCCCTCGCGGAATCCACGCCCTCAGCCCTTGCTCGGTAGCTCAACCACCGCCGAGCACGTGAAGCGCTTCCATGCTTCCTTTGTACGTGAAATTTAACATGCCTGCGTATGCGAATGACAACAAGCCAAACACATCACAGGATCACATTCTTCGAGAGTCTCAAAAAAACCAAAAAACAAAGCCCATAGGCCATGGGATGAGCATATTCTTCGAGACAGCCCCCCAAAAAAACAAGAATACCAAAACCCATAGGCCACGAAATGAGTATGTTCCCGAGACAGTCCCAAGAAAACAAAAAAATCCGTAACCTCTCCGAAATCGGAAGTGAGCATATTTCTCGAGACAGTCCCAAAACAATCAAAAATACCAAAACCCATAGGCCACGAAGTGAGAATTTTGCTCGAGACAGTGCCAAGAAACCAAAAATACCAAACTCATAGGCCACGACAAGAGCATATTTCTCGAGACAGTGCCGAAAAAACCAAAGTTTCCAAACCATTGGAGCTGTCTCGAGCACTGGCATTTGGAATAGCCATGAATCTTTGTTTTTTTTTGTTTTTTTTGGGACGGTCTCGAGAAATGTTCTGATTTCGTGGCCTATGAGTTTTGGTATTCTCGTTTTTTTTTCAACTGTCTCGAAGAATATGCTCATTTCTGGCTTATGCACTTTGGTATTTTTGGGACTGTCTCGAGAAATATGCTCACATGAGTATATTCTTCGAGACAGCCCCAAAAAGCCGAAGACTCCATTCTGCTCCCAAATGGCTTCTGGAATAGCTCCAAATTTTGGTTGTTTTCTGCGGGAATGTCTCGAGGTATATGTTTATGTTTTAGCCTACGGGTTTTGGAATTTTGGGCTTTTTGTGACTTGGGCTCGCACGTTCGCACTGCTTCTTATCTGTTCATGAATGACTTGAACCGGGGCTTTTATCTACAAATGAACAAGTACTTAACTGCTGAATAGTTATCTATCTCCTGTGTCCTAATGCACCGACTAGCTGAGCAGCTATTTCAGTGTTAGTTAAGTAGAAGATATTCGTTACTCTTCTATTTTGTTTATTGAGCAGATTCAAACATGAGGCAAGCACCTTGCCATGTTACGCACATGCTGATCCAGTATAAACTCCATATTAATGAAAACCGGAGCCGGAGCAGTATTTGTTATTAGTTACACGTTAGATAATTGGCATTGGTAACTCATACGTGCAAGCTTCACATGAGTTCTCGATGAACAGTATTTAGGTATGAGACCAAACTCATTGCATTTTTATTCTGTTGAAAACAATACTAGTAGCACATGCATCGCAATTACTGCTCGATCATTAAATAACAGGTAGTATGCTGGTAACTTTTGCGTATGCGCCTTATAGATATTTGGATAGGAAGGCAAGTAAAATTACGTTGGTACAGCATTATTTCTGTTTTAATATCTATTTCCAGGATAGTGCGAACTCGTCATCGTGTTTGTGGGTGAGTGCTGTCGAAAAGAACGGTGATGGCAACACTCTAAGGCTTTATTCTTGTTCCGGTGTTGTGAACGAGAAGGGCCGAGGACAGTATTCCGGTTGCGTATTCATGGATGCTTGCGGTCGAGATGAACACTGACGGCCTTATGCTGAGGTTTTATTTCTGTTCCAGTAATGCAAAACAGAAGGCCAAAATACAGTACTCAACTACTACAAACCCTAGACGCGCGGTTTCTGCAGGGGGGGGGGGGGGGTAG